ATAGCCTAATCTTCTTTATTAGTTTTTCTATTTCTGTTGTAGGAACAGTTAGGTCTTCTGCCATCGCTGCTTGGAAGGCGGATTCATACCAGCACTTTCAATAGCATTAGAACTGTAATATGATTTATTAGCGGGGAACAAAGGCCAGCAATTGCATAGAATGTTTAATGTTGTATATGCTTAATGGAGTTATAACGCATTAAATCCTGTGCGCCCTGCAAAGATGCCTAGTTCACTTGTCATTTCAGAAATGCTCATGCTACAGAAAGGAACGTGGCTCTCCATGTGTAGCAAATTGTGCTGTAATCAAATGTTTGCCATCGAGTATTCTCTACTCTCTATTGCTGCCATAGTCCATCTACAAGCAGATCTCCATAGCGTATGTGAAAATGAAGGTTGGAGAAGACCTCTATCTTTAGAGCATATGTCTGCTCCCCGGGAAAATGTATGGAGGATCAGAGATCAAAAAAAAATTACTTACTGTGACTCACTACAGTGTGGTGTAGTTTCCTTTCAGTAATAAAATCTATTTAAATTTGGTAGAGAACTCTAGGAACTAATTGCCCTAGTTATTTACTTGTTTATTTTTTCTAGATGTTTGTCCCTTGCTTCTATAGCAATTATGTACTGTATGTTTTAGGAACTACAGAGGTAAGATTTCAGTAATGACTGTTGTATGGTATTCTAGATTAAGGACATCTGCTCTTGTAAGACTGATTGGTATCCTATTTTCATTCATTCATCTCCTTCAAAAACTGTAGTGAAATTAGGGATAACAAAAGCTTTCAGAATGCTTTGGGTTTTAGTGGTCTTGTGTTAGAAAATGTGGGGGAAAAAAAAAAAATTGTCAACAGCACGTAATGAATTTAAACAGAACAGCTGGCTTCTGTTGGGAAGAGGTGACATTTACTATAAATCACATATTTGCTACTCCAAAAATTGCAGTTACTCAAAATTTCTTGTCTAAGATTTTAATAAATAACGTCGCTAGCTGCATGATGGTCTTCCTGTGGCAATGTCTTTCTAAGAAACTTGGCGATCTTCCAGGCCAGAGACTGATTAGACTTTGTTTTGTTATTTGCAGTAGTAGACCAAAAAGTGTTAGAGTGAAGGAAAATGGCAATTTTAAAGCATAATTAAGTGATCTTAAAAAAAAAAAAATTGTCTGTTGTTTTTTCAATTGGAATAATACAGATGTTTCCTTTGCCACAAGACAAGGCCTTTTCCAAATGGAGCATCTGCGAAGATGAGAAGTACAGGGAAGTAACTGAGGTTCATAAACTGTAATTTATGTTTGCACAACATTTTTAATTGAGAAATGTTATCAATTATTTCATTCTTGATTAGTCTGTAGTACTGGAAGTGAATGCACAGGTTCATCTCCCAAGTGTAAGTTAAGAATATTTTTCCTTTTAATTTTATGCATCAACAAGTTTTTAGCATTGAGGATAACAAGTCCTCACATATCCTTAATTTGTGATGAAAATAATTTTTAAAGGTTTTATTTTTTTACAATTCTGCTGTGTTTGCAGCATTATAGTATGCAGTCAGTTCTTGGGGAGAGTTTCCAGCAGCTTTAGGATTAATTAAATTTAATTCTGAAAATGAAGCTGACAATTAAAATAGCTATTGAAGATGCTGAATGTTCCACTTTTGAAACAAAATTTTCACCACTATGCATTGTATAAAAAGGAGCTCAAAGAAAACATAAGATTCAAAAGCTCATTGAACTTCATGGAAAGCATCCTGTTTGAGAGTGATATATTGGCCTTTACATTGTACTTAATATATTAGGCCAGGAGTTCCTTCAAGTTTTATTCATGGGAGATAATGTCCTATATGAGACAGCAGTTTAGAAGCTGATTAATGCATGTGATAGAGAATTTTTCTAGAGTAGAGCAAGCACAGTTTATGATTTTTATAGGTATTTAATAAAAACAAACAACAAGCAAACCAAAATAATTAGACAATATACAAAGGCTGTGTGGACCACAAATAGTCCACAGATAACTTCCTTTGGCACACCGATGTTTTTGTGCTTTCAATACAAGATAAAACAGTTTAGTCCTTCAGTACCTGGGGGAAGATGCTGAGTAGGAAGCAGAGAACCATAACGGCAGAAGTAAAAATGGGTCTCCTGTGAGTTGAAGCTGTTAGTGAAAGTAATGATATCTTTGCGTTTTTGGGTTAGCAATAAAATTCTGCTTTGCAAAGGGGTAATTCAAACTTATGCATTATTGAAGTGCGCTATCAGTGGGGTATGTTTTCATACGCTTTACATTTTAGCCAACATAAAAGCCAGATGTCATCTTAACACTTGGGACAATCTTTCTTCCTTTCTTTATCTCTGCTTCAGTATGTTATGAAAAATGAAATAAAATGAAACTGGAAATACTCAAAGCAGCTGTGGACTCAGCACCTGTAGTTGCATGTTAAATATAAATGATGGAAGCATCTTTTACGTTTAACATGGTCATCATTTAAAATGACCTCATAAAAGGACAACATTCACTCTGTGTTTAAGGAAGTTGAATTTTCGAATTACAAATTTGCTTCCTTATGAGCATGTTCTCAGAAGGTGTATGAAATCATTGTCTCGCTTTCATTTGTGACTACAAAGCAGTAAGCTTATTTTGGAGTTAGTAATTTTTATCTGACTGGGATGGAGGGAACAAGGGAAGCTCTGGTTAATCTTTTTTACCTTCAAATGATTTCTTGGATGTTTTATCAAATCCAAAGAAAAGACAGGTTGTACAGAATTTGAATCAAAAGTATCTTCAAGTTTTAACAAGATTCCTATATAAAATAGAGACAGGCTGCGTCGGAGTATCTTCTCACTTTGCCTCTAGTTCGTATCAAGTCAGCCACTGTGTCAGATCTATGAAATCATATGCTCGTCTCAAATCTTTGCTAGGCAAAACAGGGCAATTTTAAGACAGATAGTAGGACCTTTGATGGTGTTAGTTAAAAAATGTTTTATTTGAACTATTACTCATTTTTTTCCCCTAAATTTTCTGTAGCAGTTTATTCAGTATGATTTATGAAATGTCCAACATGGGCAGTGTCTAAGCATTAAACATGTGATTTTTCAGTGGTGATAAGTACCTTCTATTAATAGTCATCCTTAGCCTTAGCAGCTCCCAGCCTTCAAAGATGAAGGCTTTTCAGTGTTACCTTGTGTTACATATGGGGTTTTCTTCACTTCTTTTGTAATACTGTTAGGCATTACTGGCAAGTACAGGTACATCATCGGTGTGTTTTGCCTCGGTGGATGAAGCGACAGCTCTGTGAACGTTACACCAAAGGGAAAACAAAATTTTGACATATCTGTGCTATTCTTGTTTAGACAGGAGGGACAGAGTGAGACCTCTACCAAAGTACAGCTGCTTATGGTGGAATATTATATTTATTGCTCCTCAGAAACGCTCCCAAAACAGCCAAACCATGTGTGATACCCAATCCGTCTACTGGCATGATAATAATCCGCCTGACTGGAGGCAGAACTTGCGACTTGGAGCGCAGCTGTGAGGTTATAATCAAGCAGAAGCAAGTGCTTTTCTGCAGGATCTCAAATGGGATTCTGCTTAGCTGTTTAACAAGAGAGGTGGTTTGTCATACTCACTTCTCCCCATCATCTTCACATATGCACAAAAGAAAGTTATCTTTTAGCTGTTTAATCCTTCAGATGTTGATGCTTCAGGCTGGTGAGCTCCACTGATGTCCACGTTCTGAAGTTCTGACCCTTGACACTCTGTGAATAAGTGTAGCACTCACTAAATAAGTGTAAGATCGTCTTTTCTTCAGCTGTTAAGTTTAGGTTTCAGGTATGCATATTTATATACTAATTCTGAAAATTACTGATGATTTTGTTGCGAAGTGTGGTGGCTCTGTCTACACAGAGCTCATTTTAGGACTGGAATCTTTAGGAGCATCGGTCCATCTCTGTAAACAGCAAAATATATTTCAGGAAAATCTTCTCTTTCTCTCTCTTTGAAATGGTTAATTATCTGTTTAGATTTATGAAAAAGCATCGTTAGAGCTGGATGCCCATTAAGTAATTAAAATAACACCCTACTGCTTGACTATTGAATATATGTGTTCTTTGCATATGCTGTGTCTCTATAAAGTAACTGGGGGGAATCTGCTTGTATATAAACATAAGCATCCTGTATATATCTGCACATTTTTGTAATAAAACTAATTTAGAAATAAGTTTTTAAGAAAAAGTCATTAGCAGAAGGTAAATGGTTTTACAGCTAATTTCTGCTTCAAGCACTAAGATGACATGCTTTTTTCAGTTCTATACTGAAGTCTCAAGAGCTACTGTGTTTGTTAAATTGATACTCGTTAGAAATGGGAGAGCAATTTGTTAGGTTTAGACTTGATTATTCATTCTCCAGAAAAGCCCAGATAGCTCTAATGTGGACAGAAGAGCCTAAAACTACTTTGTATTCCTTCTGCACTCAGTAGCAAAGCAACTTTTTCTATGAAACTTCTATTTTTTTAATAATTTGGGACTCTTGAAATTTTTTTCATGTCACTATTGATATGAGAATTCAAATTCAATCTGATGCCGGTGCATGCAGCTTCATTGGAAGTCAGCAAGAGGTGATGATTTGACGTAGAGTCTGACAGTCTGAGATTATGATGGGGGAAATAATTTGAAAGTGTGTTGGATGATCTGTACGGGGCCTCCTGTGTGCTGCTTCTGTAATGAAATCCAGTGTGCAGTATCTTTTTGTTGAAATTGTGCGATGCCTTCCAAAAAGGCCTGACGGTGAGAGATTGTGCGTTTCTTGACAGCCATGACAAAACGGTTCCAGCTGTTCTTGAGAGGCGCCTAATGCTGTCCTGAAAATTACTGTTTTGTACATCTTCAGGATTTAAATGTGGTGGTGTTTTTTTTTTTTTTTGCAGTATTGTTTATCTGGTTCTTGTTAAATAGTTGTTAACATGACATGCAGTTTTGGTAATGCTGTTTTTGTCTGTAATCTTTTAAGGTTGTGCTGGTGAGATGGAACGAACCATTCCAGAAATTAGCAACCTGCGATGCAGATGGAGGAATATTTGTTTGGATACAATATGAGGGCAGATGGTCTGTGGAGCTTGTGAATGATCGGGGGGCACAGGTTGGTATGCTTGTTTTCTCTGCAGTCGAGAGTGATCAAGTCCTGAGAGGCAAAATGAAGAGGACAATGAACGGTGCTTTATACCTTCTGGAAAGCACAAGAGAAAATTAAACATTTCTTTATTGAAAGGAACATGCAAGAATTGTCACAAAGATGCTTTGCAAGGACAATTTCTTTATCCAATAGTTGTGACATCAGAGGTACAACTGTGCTAATAGTTACCCTGTCTAGTTCTGTGCAGTGCTACATTTTATTAAAACAACAAAAAATTCCTATATGTCCCATACATCTATTTTCTTGTCTGTGATATGTTAAGGTAAGCGACTTTACATGGAGCCATGATGGAACTCAAGCACTTATCTCCTATAGAGATGGATTTGTGCTGGTCGGTTCAGTCAGCGGACAAAGACACTGGTCTTCAGAAATAAACTTGGAGAGTCAGATCACCTGTGGCATATGGACTCCAGATGACCAACAGGTACTGGGACTTTCAGGGTATTAATTGTATTGCATTGATATCCTATGTAATACACTTCTTAAGAAGTTGTTAAGTAAAATGGTCACTTCATAAGAACAGTTTCCCTCGAAAGTGGTTCTCCCACAGCTAACAAAAATGTAATTCATCCTGTCATTCTCATTAGGCAAATATGATAATGTACCAAGTTACGTATCATCACTTTTCACCGCAATTCACATGCAGTCTTATTCAAAGTTAGTTGTTTGAGACAGGAATCTGTAATTGTACCCCTAATTTGTTGATACAGCTGTCTCGAAGATGTGTTTGAGCAGAGATACAGCCTGGGCTAGTAAACATCTGACTGGTCATTTCTGTATACAGCTGTCCAGTCTGCACTTGCAGCAAAAGTTCACGTGACATGTTTGCCTTCACATGAGCAAATGGATCTAATAGATTCTGAGTGTCAGAGAGACTGCTCAGCCTTCTGCAAACGACATAATTTAACAGAAGGCCATGTTTCCAACCATTGAGTCCAAAGCTTGCTGAGCTTTGAAAAAGCCATTTAAAAAATTCTTCTTTACTGTTTTTCTGATAAAGCATACAGTATTGGCCACATCACCATTTATAGCACATCTTGAGCTAGCCCATAGCTTTCATTTGCAGAATTTACAATGATCCTTTGCCATTCACTGTTGAGCTTACTGGAACGGTCGTCTTTCCTTCCGCATGCTTGCTGTTGATATGGTTAATGTGTGTATAATACAGTTCTGAAAGAAATGCTGGGGGTAGAACAGTGCAAAGAGAAACTGTGTTATGATCACAACCGGATTATTTTCCTTCTTTCATTTTACACCACCTTGAAAAGGTACTGGTTCAAGACTGAAGGTACCACTGACTTTAATTTAGAATACTATAAATCCATAAAAGAGTTATTTTGGGAATTGCTAGTGGAATATAATACCACTAAAAATATGCATTTGTGCAGCAGCATCTGATAATTTCGGAGTGCTCTGCAAATAATGATGAAACAATTATTGTAACACTGCTCTTTAAAGCCAGGGAGTCTAACTGCCTCTTTTTGAATCTGGAGAAGTGTAAGTCTTGACAATAAATAATTTACTCAAGATGAAGAGGAAAAGACAAGCAGCAGAAGTAGGAGGGGAAACTAAGATCTAATCTCTCATTCCTATGTTTTAAACATGAGGCTACCCCTTTTGTATGATACTCGATTGTTGCTGCTGTATTTGGATATATCTTCACTTGACTGTTTAATTTGGGGTGACTGACTGCCTTTAATTCAATTTAGCCAATATGTTTGTATTTTCTAATCTGGGTGCTCCATAAGTGCTTATTCCAGAAAACAAACACTTGTTCAGTGTCCAGATAAGCTCATTCAAACATAATGGCCAATTCCAGCTGGGTGAAAATCACTTGCTTGAGTTAGGAGACTCTGTTGCTGACAAACTCACTGAAATAGAGACCAAAACCAGCCATGAGCTTGATGTTATGCTGTACTGTTCTCCTAGCTGTGGGGTTTGCATGTTCATTGATGATGGATCTTTGTATTGTTCTCCAGAGTTGGTCGAAGGAAGTGATCTTCTAATATGTGTTTAGACGTATTTGTCTCTGGAGGCACAAGGAAATACGGTTCATTGATGTTCTAGGCAAGAGACTATGCTCAGTTCAAACTAAAAATAGAAGATTGGAGGGGAAAAGACATTGCATCTATTACAGACAAATAAGCACATACGGAAATGGATACTCTTACTAGCTTATCTCTGTATCTAATTTCTCTCCTGATTGGTATCTGTGCAAATGAGAACAAAATATTATTCTAGTCTAAAGTAGCTTCACCATCTTCCCTATTGCCTAATGTAATCTACTTGTCAATACAGTGAGTGAAAGATAAATGGCTGTCCTGGTTTTAGCCAGGATAGAGCTGGTTTTCTTCACAGAATCCAGTGTGAGACTGTGTTTTGGATTTGGGATGAGAAACTGTTGATAATGTGCTGATGTTTTGGGCTGTTGCTGAGCAGTCAAGGACAGTTCAGCTTCTCATGCTGGCCTGCTAGCAAGGAAGCTGGGGGTGCATGGGGAGCTGGGAGGGGACACAGCCGGGACAGCTGACCCAGACTGGCCAAAGAGATATTCCCTACCATACGACGTCATGCCCAGTACATAAACTGGAGTTGACCGGGGGCGGAAATCACTGCTCGGGGACGGGCTGTCGATCACGGGGTGGTGAGCAATTGCTGTATTGGGCATCACTTGTTCTTGTACATTCCTTTGTTGGTATTATCATTGTTGTTTCCTTCTTTCTTTCTGTCCTATTAAACCGTGTTTATCTCAACCCACGAGGTTTTTTTTCCTAATTCTCTCCTCCACCCCACTGTGGGAGGGGGAGTTAGTGAGCGGCTGTGTGGTGCTTAGCTGCCGGCTGGGGCTAAACCACAACAATGGCAAAATTTAAATTTATATTTTCATACTATTCTTTTTTGTCACCCCTCTGGCACCATGAAGATTGCTAGTGAAAGTATTCCTGGAAAACGTTACACTCCATGGTCCCATGACCTTTAATGCAATTAACTTGGAAAGTTAAATTTGTAATGGGAATGGATTGTTAAGCATCAGTTTTCTATTGTCCTGATAAAAATTTGCTCAATATAGCCTGTCTTTTCACCTCACTCTTCAGTTCTCTTAACTTTCTCCCTTAGTCCTCTGCGTGCATCCTCCTCTTTTCTTCAAGACTCATGTTGCGTCTTTTCTCCTCTCTGTTCAGCACCAGTAGGCTATCACCTCTGTCACTCCTCACCACAGCAGTGTGGTGGCTTTGCAAGAGGAGGGTAATTTCCTACCATCATCTTTCTCTTGGAGGCAAGAAATGGTTGGAGCCTGCAGTGTTGCCACCCATCGTCTTGTTTGACAGAGCATGGGTTTATGTCCTTGCTGTGCTTTCACATGCGCTCGTGAAGCACCTGAGGTAGTGGCTGATGCCACCTGTGGTTGAAATCCATGGTTAACAGTTCCCAAAGTCTTTTGAGAGCATAGAGGTGGGATGAGAGCTGGGAAGATGGCTAGGATGGAGTATAGTCTTGCAGAAGCTGAGCGTATATATTTGTATCTTTTAACTGATTTGCTACGTGCTTTGCCCTGAGGAAGTTACTGGCTGATTTTAGTAATACTAGGTGCAACTGTGCTGCATTTTCTTTTAGGAAGAGAGTGGTATCATTCTTCCTGTGGCAATGTTGTTCTTCAGGATTTCTTGAGCTCTCCTTGTGTGTTGGGGACAAACTTACTGTGAGTCATAGGACAGTTGATACAATCTAGTTGACTGCAGTGCTTTCTCAGCATTTGTCATCAGATCTTCTCCTGAAGGTCATTGACGGAGTCTGGACTTTAAGCTATGGGCTTCTTCAGCTAATTCAATACGTAGGTCTTTTGACTGTCATTCTGCATGTTTATTGTAGAGGACTAGAAATTAATTTTCTCTCTTCCTTTATATTTCTGTAGTCCTGCTCATTTAGTTGTTTCCTGCTCGTGTACACTATAACCAGAGCACGTGTCTGGCCAAGGCAGAGCGCCCTGTTATGCCAATGGCCTCTTGAGGATAATAAGCAAATACACACAACAGGAAGACTTTACAGGACTGGGTCCTCTGTATCTCAAGCAGTCTGTCACACTTGGGTTAAACTCAGACAGATGGGATCACTCAGGAGTGTGACCTTCCTTTCTCTTTTTTGAAATGTTTTTTTCAGGGCTAGCAGAGGCTGCAGTAGAGCCTACTTCCCCAGGGCCATGTGTAGTATTTTCTGATGAGAAGACTCCCATAGGGATGAAAAGTAAATTTGAAAGGAAAAGTAAATTTGAAATATTGGAGAATACCCTGAGCCAGTTCTGTGGTATCGTACCACACTTGTTTGCAAAGAGGGAATGTACATACCAAGTAGATTGAATGACTTCCCAAGTGAGAAAAACTTGAGTTTCTTCTAGGTCATTTAGCCAAAGGGTTTATTTATAATTATGGAAGCAAAGTCAATAAGTAATTGAGGATTTTTCCTATGCCCACAAGTTACATACAATATCTTTCTAGTGCTCCATCTCGCCTCCTGTGTGCTTGCTCAGGTCCTAGTGACACTTTTCTATCAACAACTTCTGCCCTCAGGCCATTCTCTCCCTCTCCTTCTCCCAGATTTTACCTATTAAAGAGGCTTATCTATGTTCACGACAAGAGAAGGGCACAGCGTTGGAGAACTGAGAGAGAACTGTAGAGGAGTCTGATTATCCTCTTGTTTATAGCAATACAGTGTTTTTTACTATGGAGTAATATAGTATTTTTTACTCTGGACTTCACTGCAGTTGTTTCTGTTGCTGTTTCTGTGTGTGAGAAGGGAATCAGAAGGATATCACTCTCCAGTAGAGGAAAGCTTTGATGGAAATGAATGAATACATTTTAATTCCTGGATATCCCAAAAAGTGCTGTTAATCCATATTTGGACCCTGCATCTCAGCTAGTGTAAATTGTTAGACTTTTCTGACAGCTGTAATAGCCCATTTCTGGTTTTCCCCCTCCTCTTTCCTGTTGTAAACTTTTATTTGCGGAAATTCAGGGACTGACCAGGATTCTCTTTGGCCAGGACATGACAGGCAACAGGTATGTGTGAACTTTGCCAGCACACTTCCTTCTGTTTCCTTTGAAAATATGTATACAAGCAGCTAGCTAATTTGATTTGCATCCTAGTGGGTACAACATTAACTATTGTATGTGGTCCCATCGTAACGCAACATGAATTAGTGCTAAGAATGTGTAAGCACAGGCCCCAGGTTTCAGCCTGGTCTGTGGCTAATCATACCAAATCTGCTGTCGGTGGAAGAGAAAAGCAGCGCAGCGTTAGGAGCAGATACCATGTGCACTGTAGGGTCTTAGGAGACACTGGAAGAAAGCCTCTGAGACCAATAGCAGATGAAACCAGTTTGTCTCAAAACACAGGGTGCGGGAGGTCTGTATGTTGTTTTTTTTAACT